AGATGACGGACAGCACTAGACGGACATGGTCGGTTGACGAACGAGTCTGCTGGTGGTTGGATCAAAGGTCGGGTAATGGCGTGGGCTCGATGCTTCGCAGATAAACGTTGAGGTAAGAACATATGGTTGGTTCTGCATGTGACATCTGAGCATCAGATGTCTACACTGCTATTGGTAAATAGAATACAGCATCAGATCTCACATGACTGAATGAGATACAACTTCCTCATTTGAGTCCTTGAGAGCAAACTGTCCACAGAGCACCTCTGACACTTGGACGTGTTCCCCATTAGCGATCTTGGTAACTGGTTTTGTTCTATGAGAAACAAGCTTCATACATTCTCCACTCAAGAGACACGAGAGGAGCCAGCCCCAGAGTCGATAATGAGTTGTACATTATGATTACCGGGAGATCTGAATAATACGATTTCCGGTAGTGGCCCTGAAGAGCCATAGTTTACACAATCAGTTTCAGATTCAGTACATGGACCAACGGTGGGACAAACAGACTCAGAAGACCAACAGACTCAGTAATGTTTGACACAGCGCCCAGTGAAGATCTACCTGAGTCCACACGGTCCTGGGGATCTGATGACGATATCAGACACTCACACGGACAAAGGAGTGAAGAATCGTCAAAACTATTACGGTTGGTACCCGTAGAATCGGATCAAATATTGTGGCTTGCACTTGAACTATGATGATGAACTTGAACGATATGATGGGTTTTATCAACATTCAAAGAAGAGTTGAGTGGTACATAAACGGGCGACATGGATCACATTGCAGGCCCCATCACGCCCTCTCGGAGATGGGGCCTCAATTAGTAACTGGTCTACCCCGAGTACTCTTCGGGACGATTGCTTGGATCTTCAGACCTTGAGACGCCACCTCGAAGTTCGCGGGATTGCCGTTGTGGATCAGCTTTGAGGCCTCGGCCTTGTTGTCAAGAGTAGCGAGTCCGTACCCGTGTCCAAGTTCATGGAGGCCAGCACGCACTTCTTCTCCACCGAGATCATTAAAGCTCTTGCGTATCGACTCTGGGCAGATCGCCTTATCAGTGCTGAATTACACGACCGATCACTGGCCAGTAGACCTGATCAACACGATCTGTTGCTTGTGAGCTTCTATGGTCTTGTGAAATTATTATCTTCCAGAGGACTATTGCATTCTGGTAGCCAAGTCACCTTGGTAACCTCGAACCTTCCCTAACGTAGTTGGCCAGGTCTTCTTATCACCGAGCTGCCTGGCCAGGAATTTGACACTGGCGACAGCGCGCTCTGCTAAACCGTTTGAAAAAGAAGCATATGGCGACTCCACCCGATGCCTCACTGCTCTTAGCGAGAGCATTTCAGCTAGTGGACGCCCACGGAAACACGGGCCTCCGTCAGGTCGAAGCGAGGCCGGAGCACCCAATAAAGTGAAGAGGCTCGCCATCTCGGTCGCCACTGTGGCACTTTTTCGATTCTTCAAGGGAGATCCCACAGTGAATCCGCTGAAATGGCACGTCAGCACCAATACCGCGCAAAATCTGCGCTTGCAAACCCAGCCTATCTCGGCAAGGTCAGCTGAAACCGTAGACCAACACTCCTGCACGCCAGTGCGAAAAGAGCGGACTGAGTCAGTTGTGGAATAGAAGCGCCTATTAAATGACAAACGACACACTTCACAGGTACCGCACACGGCCTCCAAGAAGGAATGAAGCCGGGGGATATAAAGGCATCTGGACACCAACCATCGTATGTAACGACGATCAAGGCAGCCAGTTTTACGATGGTATGCATCGACGATCGAATGTGTGTGCTGTTCTCCCTCGGAAGTATCCGTGGGGACATAATAACATGTACGAGTCGTGGAGACTCCGTTCACCTTCGGAGTTTGGGACCTCTTCATTAGAAGACCATCGTCAGCCAAAGAGAAATCCTGAAGTTCTGCCGCCGCTCCCGGTATCGGGGCTGTAGCGGGCCTTACCGGGTCCCGAACGTTGGCCCTACCACCCCACTTGTTAGGTATCCGGGGGTGGGGATGAACTGAGGGATCTGAGTATAAAATTGGCAGTCGGGGAAGCCCACTGGAGAGCGGGCAGCCGCTGCCTGGATGGTCTTCCATGCTCCATGCCGAACTCCAGGACGCCTTGCGATGCTGGATGCACTGTTGCAATGACCCTCAGCTGTTTCTCAACGTCACATACGGTAATATTATGTTCAGAGGAGCCTAACTATCAAAAACCGTAACCGCTTTGGTGTGCACCACACCGCGATCTTCAAAGATGATACTGTCGGGATACCCCAGGAGAAAGCAAGCCTGCTGAGGCTGTCCGACTCAGACTTCTGCTCCGCCGAGACATGCAGCAGCTCGGGGGTCAACCTGTACTTCGGACGACTGGACTCGGACGACTGTTTGACCACCCAAAGCATCTGTAACTGATTCTCCTTAACCTCTGAGGATCAAAATAGAGCGGACTCTTCCGGGCCCCCCATCGGGTGCTAGTACTTGAAGAGACTATGAGGAAGAGGCTTGGGAACGTCCATGGCCACCACCCTTAGAGGTGGCTTTGTCATCCGTACGTTCGTGGCGAAACTTACATTCGCTGCCAAATCGACAGCGCCCTTCAGCCGCCCATCGGTGACACTCTGTAGGGCCTAGGTGTCTGAAGGGGCACCGTTCTCCCCTTGTACATTTGCCTCTCAATGAGTTCCGGCAAAGCTCGCCTTTTGAGGAGGATGTTGGCGTTGCTGATGACGCAGGTCTGGCGTAGGGTGCCCCCCGTCACCGGCTGCAGTCGGGACCATTGCTTTCGGCGGGTTGCGAGGCTTACTCGCCCTGTCAGCATCGGCCCTAGCGGCGCGAGTGAGAGCCTTGACTCGAAAGCGTGACCATGTCCCGGGATACTCATAGGAGGCCTCCTGGCAGTTCTCATCATTCAAATTACGGCGAAAGGCGCGGATGATAAGAGCGTCGTGAGCGGAGTCCCTGCGAGTGAGCAACGTCGTAGCCAGTCATCGAACCTTCCAATGTAATCAGTCAAGGGTTCTTGTGGGCCGCGCCCCGTAGGCTCAGTCAGGAACTTTTCCGCATCGAAGTGACTGCCACACTCTTCCTTCAAAGTCGAGTGGATCGCGTCCACGGCCAGTGCGAAGTCGTCAGCCGTGATAGGGTCCCTGTCGGCAATCGCCTGTTCTAAGGCCGATTCATCGATTAAGTTAGTGAGAAGAAACTAATACTCAGCCCTTCGTTTAAGCCAACCTCGTCGCAAGACCATACGGTGCACTTGTCTCCGAAAGCCGGAGAGACCTCGTGCGTCTGATACGCCTTCGGAGGGACCTCTCTTGAAAGCAGCCGCAGCCTTGTCAGCGCCTGTCGAGGCAACCCTGCGCATGTCTTGACTTGATGCTCCTGGGTTCGGTCTCAGGGTCACATGACTTCCACGAGCTGACCCCGAGGGACCCGTTTGGGAGGAAAGACCACTGAAGACCGCGCGAGATGGGGAGATCGAGTGTCTTCCACGCGATCTTGAGATATCGTCGTGACTCGAGGCGACTAGGGGTTGAAGCCAACCCATAAGGAGTGCCGAGAACCGTGGCGAACCGGAGACTGGCTGTTCATTACTGCTGGAGGAGGACATTTGCTTTTGCTGAACCAGCCGGGCTCCCTAGCCAGGACTGAAGGGGCTACTCTCGAGTTCCAAACTCTGGAACTCTTGAGTTCCAAAAGAGAGGAAAGATTCTTGCGCCGGCAGTGGGTCGCCAAAGCCGTCGCCGAGGGGAATCCGGCGATGACCTCAGACTGAAGGACAGTATGCAACACCATCGGGGGGAGATGCTCTACCAGCTTCTCGGTGGTCTTGGGGGGCACCAGCCCAGCCGAAGCTATCTTGCAGGCGTCTCCGATGCGCTTTTGAACGTCGTCCGTGATCAAGTAGATAAAGCTTGCCGGCTTCAGGAATGGAGTCCACCAGAGAGACCACAACCTGGTCGGATAGCTGATCTACGACACATTGTAGTTCCGATGGCTGGCCAGATACAATGGCCTTCTCTAAGCAGTCAAGAACGATGTCAGACAACTTGTCGAGGTCCGGGAAGGCCCCAAGGGCGTGAAGGACTTGAGCCTCGTCGGGGGCACTCTCCTCGAGAACAAAGATGTCGCGAAACATTGGGGGGTCCCCGCATCGGAGCCAGAGGTGGGATTAGTGGGATCCCCCCGTTGACTAACACTACTCGGAAGTGCCATTTGGACTCAAAATAAGAACTACTTAGTCTCATGATCTCTTATATAATGGAGAGTCTAGATCTACCACATTTTGACACTACTGCTTGGATCACTGCGGAGAACACGAGAATGATCGGCAAAGTTTCGAAAAGCGTTGACCTTGTAAGTCGGCGAAAAAGGAGGGATAATGAGTATCATCCGGTGTTGTACTTTACGGGCCTTTATGCAGCACTCATCTGACGAAGGCATATTCAAACTGTGCGATGCAGGACTCGTCGATGCAGATCCTCGATATCTCTCAAGCACTCAAGCAACCAGCAGGCAAACTCAAATTTCCGACGAAGCTCCATTCCAGTCAACACCGATTTCCATGCTCGGACTGATATACGACGGAAATGGTCACCTGCTATCTGCTTATCGTAATTACTTAGCCCTCCGACTTCGCTACCGCTTCCAGTTGTACATCATGACCAATCCCGTTTCCACGAGTTATCATCCCAATACCGCTCCCAAGAGTAGAAATGATCTCGAGAGCTATCTTGTTCTAAGAATTAATGGCTGACTGAATGCAGGCAGTAATGGTTCAGCTCCCTCCCCAAGGAACTATAGCTCCTGCAACAGCACCGTTGACTACCTTACCACTCGGATCTGTCAGAATGGCCTGCGCCGAATGGCCAGCCAGGAACGGCCTACAACGACCGAGAGTCGTCCTACGTGGACGCTTTCTTTGGAGCATTCCTCATCGAGCACAACATTCGATACAGGTTCTCCTCCGCTTTGAGTCCGCGCTGTGCAGTAAGGCACATCAGTAAACGTAGCTATATCTTATGATCCAGAGATTTACATTGGGCTAACTCGAACTGTAGGGGCTGAGGCGGTATCTCTGAGCATGATAAGACCCTTCCGACGGAGAAACAGCAGCGTTGAACCAAGAGAAAATGCTGTAGCTCTTGAGAAATTGCTTCCATAGGGTACACTCCAAATAAGATGCTCTATGACCCGCAGTAGATGACGGACAGCACTAGACGGACATGGTCGGTTGACGAACGAGTCTGCTGGTGGTTGGATCAAAGGTCGGGTAATGGCGTGGGCTCGATGCTTCGCAGATAAACGTTGAGGTAAGAACATATGGTTGGTTCTGCATGTGACATCTGAGCATCAGATGTCTACACTGCTATTGGTAAATAGAATACAAATCTCACATGACTGAATGAGATACAACTTCCTCATTTGAGTCCTTGAGAGCAAACTGTCCACAGAGCACCTCTGACACTTGGACGTGTTCCCCATTAGCGATCTTGGTAACTGGTTTTGTTCTATGAGAAACAAGCTTCATACATTCTCCACTCAAGAGACACGAGAGGAGCCAGCCCCAGAGTCGATAATGAGTTCTACATTATGATTACCGGGAGATCCGAATAATACGATTTCCGGTAGTGGCCCTGAAGAGCCATAGTTTACACAATCAGTTTCAGATTCAGTACATGGACCAACGGTGGGACAAACAGACTCAGAAGACCAACAGACTCAGTAATGTTTGACACAGCGCCTAGTGAAGATCTACCTGAGTCCACACGGTCCTGGGGATCTGATGACGATATCAGACACTCACACGGACAAAGGAGTGAAGAATCGTCAAAACTATTACGGTTGGTACCCGTAGAATCGGATCAAATATTGTGGCTTGCACTTGAACTATGATGATGAACTTGAACGATATGATGGGTTTTATCAACATTCAAAGAAGAGTTAAGTGGTACATAAACGGCGACATGGATCACATTGCAGCCCATCACGCCCTCTCGGAGTTGGGGGTCAATTAGTAACTGG